GCAGCCCCAGCCCCTCCGCCAACCCAGCGCCTGGGTCATTTCAGACGGGATGGGCTTGCGTTTATGAGATCTATGCAACGCCAAGGATGAGCGGCACAGTCGCCCTCCTGCATGCTGGAACAAGATCACTTGGAAACAAAGTCCCCTCCCGGCCCACTGGTACCTCTGGGTGCTGTAACTCTGCAAGCGGTTATAGAGCAAATGACAAGAGAGGAGATGGGCTGGCATCCCGCCAGTTACCTGTTTGTTCATGACAATGTAAATCACAGGGTTGTAGATGGCGGAGCTCTTGGCAAAGAAAGCCGGGATGGTCATGAAGATGGGCCCAAAGTCTGACCCCTGGTTAGTGAAGATGTAGAAAGCGACGCTGGCATAGGGGACCCAGCAGATCAGGAAGGCGATGACCATGATGATGACCATGCGGGTCACTTCTTTCTCTGCCTTCTGGGTGGTGGCAGACTCCTGCTGCTGGGCGGCAGCCTGCGGGCAGAAGGGAAGGGAAACGTGATGGAGCTGGGGAGGGCTGCACCAGCATGGGACATGGGGTCAGGGCTTGGAGTAGTTGGGCTGCACATCTGGAGTTTGCCATTTCCCCCTTCGTGGAGGGCCAGCCTGGCCCCCAGGGGCCCTTTCTGTCATCAGTCCGGAGCCTGGCGTGGGCCCCTTCCCAGCCCTGGGGACAGGGGTGGTGCCTGGCCCACCACCACAGGCAGGTACCCACCTCCTTGACAGTGCAAACCAGGTTCCCATAGCAGAAGAAAATGACCATCAGCGGGATCATGAAGTGAACCACGAACATGTAGATGACAAAAGATTCATTGTTGACCTCTGGCTTCAGAGTGTAATAGTCGATCCCGCACGAGCACTGCATGCCCTCGGGGATGTACCTGCAAGGTGATCCCAGCAGGTCAGTGCCCAGCAGAGGGACTGGCTGGAAGCCACCGCTGAGCCATTGCCAGCCAGGCTCCCGCGGCCCCAGGCGCCGGGCATGGTGCCCTCCCTACCTGGACCAGCCAAAGAGCGGGGGAGCCGCGCACGCCAAGGCCATGATCCAGGAGAAGGCAACGCCCATGATGGCATGGTTCTCCCCAAAGCGGAAGTTGCTCATGGGCTTGCAGACCACTACGTATCTTTCCACAGCCAGGACAACCAGTGACCAGAGAGCAATTTCACCTGCACGGGGGAGAGAGAGGGATGGGGACACAGGGACTTTGAGCAACAGGAGGAAAAAAACCGTGCTGATGGCAGCACGAGGCCTCCTCGGGCTGTTGTTCCCACGAAAGACCCCTGGCAGCCAGCAACTCTCCACCAAGGATTTGGAAAGAGAAATGAGCAAAGGCCAAGTGCAGATGCGGTAGGAAGGCATGAGAAGACCCCTCCTCCCTGCACTGCTGGCCCACAGTAACCACTTTGCTGCTGTGTTTTGAGATCCACAGCTGGATCCTACCACTCATCCCAGATAGCACCTGCAAGCCTACAGTCCCACTCTGAGACGCATCTGAGTGCCATCACCCCAGGATTTCGCCTCGCTACCCACAGCTTCCCAGGAAACGGGTGCCACAAGGACCGAACCAGTAGAACAGTTGCCTGTGGCTGAGGCTGAGCTGAGGAGGAGGGCATTTTTAGACACATGGTTTTTATTTAACATCTGTTTTGGTCAAAGCCTGGCTGGCACGGGGAGCAGAGCCAGCTTTGCTAGCCTGCGCCACCATGCACCGCATCTGAGCGAGTGACAGCCTCAGCCCCACGGAACAGGAAGAACAAATTTGTCATCTCTCAAGTCAGCCAGCAAGCCAAGAAGATGTGAAAATCCAACAACTGCAAAATCTGCTACTGGTTGCTTTTGATTGCTGCGCTGTTGTTCTGAAGATACTGAGCAGTGGCTACCGAAGTAAGGTCAAAAACAAAACGAGCATCATTTGTCCCTTGCTTCACCTCCCACCCTCACACGCTGCAATTGCCTCGGCCCACATCAGCAGTGGACCAAGGCACCACGTTTTTCCAAGATCATCTGGGCGTCCTCCCTCCCCCTCCTAAAATCGGGGCGATTCCTGGCAGGTTTTTGAGTATTTGGAAAACTTACCACCCAGCGTAGCAAAGAAGCCTTCGATGTAGCACCCTGTTACTCCAAAGACAAAGTACCCGTTCATCGAAGTGTACATGGTGGTCGTGAAGCCTCCAAAGACCATGAAGAGGTCAGCGACTGCCAGGTTCAGGAGGATGTAGTTTAGAGGCGTCCGGAGCTTCTTGTGCTGGATGGTGACGTACAGCGTGAGGAAGTTGACGGGGAAGCCAAGCAGGATCAGCATGAACATGTATGCAGCCAGTGCCGAGAACTTCCAAGGCTCAGCCAGGTAGTACTGGGGGTACTCGAAGGGGCTCCGCACCACCCCGGTCTTGTTGGACATGGGCACATAGAAGTCTTGGCCTTCTGTCCCGTTCATGGTTGCGGTTCGTGAGGTGCCTTTTGCTCTTACTCAGGGGTGTTTTTTCAGTGCGGGGCGATCGCCTCTGAAGTGGGGCTCCCGCCACCTCTCAGTCTTCGCCGTCACCCCGAGGAGAAGTGGCTACGCTCGCCTCCGGAGGGCACCCCTTATAAAGTGCCCCCTGGGGTAAGCTCCAGGCACTGGTGTCAGCGCGATTAGGGCTTAGAGAATTATTAATCATAATCATCCAGGGGTAATTGGCTTTCCTGGGAAGGTATTAAGGTGACACCTGTTTCTGGCCCGCGCTGTCATTATTGGAAGACCATGGCTCATGGTCACATATAAAGAGGTAGCTCCACACTACACCTTTCATTTGGGGGGGCCCAAACCAGACAGCAGCTCCACTCACACAGCCTCGCTCCTCAGTGGGGCTGTGCTCCCCAGGGAGCAAGGGTTTGGGGCGGGCCCTGCACCCATGGCAGTCTTTGCACCCCATGACCTCTCAGAGTTGGACATCCACAGCTCACGCTGCCGTCGCCCAGGGGAAGGCACTTGTTCCCCCTCGCCCCCAAGGCCCCCAGTCCACTCCCCATGGGCACTCAGGGCCACGCTGCCCATCCATGTGAAATGCCTCAGTTTCCCCACAGAGCGGTACCGGGAGTGGGATGCGTTACCATTGGGTTGCAGGTGGACGGTGCCAGGGGAAGACAAGGCACATGGGGGCCACGCTTTCTCAAGGCTCCCAGGCTGAGCTTTCGGCTCTCATCAACCCTCAGAAGCTCCTTTCCATCCCCGACTAAAAGGAGGGAGGTTTGTGGTTCAAAACCCCACGACCGTGGGTTTGGGGGCTGCAGATGGTGGCTGGGCTGGGCAGGCATGGCGTGGTATGGTCAGTGACAGAGGGGTGTCCCAGCCCTGTTCTTACAAGGGGAAAGCAGGTCCACAACACCAGCTACGCCCCGCTGGAGAGCCGTCCCCACCGTAACTGCCATTCCCCATGGGAGGCTGCTCTCAGGCAGCACGAGCATCACCAACCCTTCTTCCACATGCTCTCAGCCACCTCTTTTTCTGTTGCAGGATTCAGACAGGGAGGTTTGAAGGCCACAGCGAGACGCAGACCCTGCCAGCAGGTTTCCAGTTGTACCATCTCTGTGCCTGGCTTTGTATGTGGCTCGGGTCACGCCAGTTACATGGGTAACACTTAATAAATAACCTAGTCCATCTGTCCTGAGCAGGTATCATTCTGCACTGGTGCTGGGAAAGCTGCTGGACAAGGGCACTGATGGGAGGTTCTGAGCTGAAGCCAACACTCAGCTTCATATGCTGGCTGACAGACACCTTTGGTCTTCCCAAAACCTTGCAGAATCATCTGATGCCATAGGGGAAGCCGTTGCTGGAGCCTCCCATGTCCTCCATGTCTCTCTGCCTCCCCGCTCAATGCACTCAATTGAGCTTGAAATGTTCTTTGTGCCAACCAGCACCTGAGTTAGACATCACCTTTTCTCAATTTTTCAGAGGCAATGGGACAACACGTCCAGCAGAGCAAGCGCGATGCCAACCACAGAGGATCTCTCTTCTGGAGAAAGCAGTTCCTTACAGTTCACACCATCGTCATTAATCTTTTAAGTTCCAAAGCTACTTTCCCCATCTCTTCTCTTTTTTCCCTTGTTTATCACCTTTCTCATTAGCAGCCCATAGCATTCCAGCTGGCAGGCAGGTACCAGCCGGTTCCCCACTGAGGCCAGGCAAGGTCCCCTTGGTAGGGGACAGAGGCTGGAGGGGACTTGAGCACCTCCCCTTGCAGCTTTGGCTGCAGCCGGGGTCTGAGCCAAGCGCTCCTTGCAGCCAGGAGCGGCAGAGTGGGTGACTATGGGTGCCTCATCCAGCACAGGAGGATGAGCCAGAGCTGCTGGGGCTCATGGGTGAGAGGTGGGCAGGAGCTCATGTCCTCTTGGCCTTAATAAAATTCTTTCAGTCCTGGCCTAGTTTTTACCAGTGTTCCCCATGGGTTAGTTCAGCACATGCAAAAAATTTAAACGCAAAAAGCACAAAGCTCTGTACTCTCTTTCAAGGTGAGACCAAGCTGGGAAACCTTCACTCTAAGTGGGGAAGGTCTAAAGGAGCCAAAAGGTGCTGGCCCCATGGACAAAGGAAGACCTGGCTGGCTGTAACCAAAGGCAGGCCACGAGCACTCTGAACCATCCCAAAGGTCTTCCTTCAGGTTAACGTGAAAATAGCATGTCCTCACACACGCTCCACTCATCCTGAGTCCCTCTCAATTAACTTTTCACACGTGTTGCCAAGGCCAGAGCAGTGCCGCTATCTACCTGCAAGTGCAGCTGCTCGTCGTGGTACCTGGGCATACAGGAGGATTAAGGGTTTATCTTCCCAGAACACAAATATGCCACCTTAAGCTCTGATGCAATAAGCCACTGCTGAGGTTAGCAGCTTAGGGCCTGCTGCGCGTCACCACTGGAGTACGGCAGGGGGACAAGCAAGCAGTAACGAGGGAGAACGGGGCAAATGGAAGAACACAGTTGGTCAACTGCTCACAACAGCTTCAGAGAAAAGCGCCGTGGTGGGGCTTCCTGTCCGTCCAGGGACTCCTTATCATGATGTTATGTGGGGGCTTCAAAGGCACAGGGCAGTCGAACTAGAACGCCTTCACAGCGTACGAGATGTGTCAGGAATGATTTTGCCCAGAAAAGCCCAATAGGCTTTTCAAACCTAGACTGTGTTCACAGAGTTGTTTAAAAAAAAAGAAAAAAACAAAACCAAAACCAAAAGCCTTCCTTGCTCGATCCATTTTGTCTCCATGTCATGGCAAACCCTATCTATTTATTTTTCTAATCCTTCATTCCCACTAGCTCTGCAAAGCCAGCTCAGTTCCGGGAGAATGAGCCGAATGCCATTCTGGCTCCCATCTCAAACAGCATTGTTTATCCATGTCAGTCGCAAAGTCTTCATTGCAAACAGTGAGGGATGACTCAAAGAGCAGATGAGTGCTAATTAGAACAGAATGTTTTTGAAGTGGTGAATTAAGCAAACTTGGTCAGGAACCATTGAGGGGCTTGGAAACCCTGTAGTGCCACTGCAGTGTCGCTGTCAAGAGGAACTCAAGCAGACGCGGAGCCATCGCTGGTGCTGTTTACGTGGTGGCTGCTTTACCAGCACCCAACCACCTCAGCCAGGAGCTTAAGACAGTAACACGGAATATCATCTCCCACTCAAAACAAAGGGAGGCCTTGACAGACAGGATGTCATAACACAGAACTCATGGTAGCACAGGCACAGGTTATGCTGGATTAAAGTCAAGACACCTATTGCTTCCCAGCTCAAATCCAGCCCAGCTGGTTCCCTACGTCCATTCTCCTGCTGTCGGAGAACTGCTCAGCAACCGTCCCCAGGGGATCAGCTACCCAGGGGTACGATGGTGGGCTGGGTCTGGCTGGGATGGAGTTAACTTCCCTCACAGCAGCCCTGGGGTGCTGCATTTTGGGTTTGTGTCTAAACCAGCATCAGTAACAGAGCAGGCTTGTAGCTGTAGCTGAGCAGTGCTTGCAGAACTCTGAGTTTTCTTTTCCCCGCTCTGTCCCCCTCAGCCATAGGCGGGCAAGGAGCGGGGAGGGGACAGAGCAAGGAGAGCTGGCCAAAGGGGTATTCCACACCAGATGATGCTGTGCTCGGAAACAAAAACTCAGGGAAAGGAGGAAGAAGGGAGGATGTTGTGTTTGTGGCATTCGCCTTCCCAGCTAACTGTTACTCATGCTGAGGCCCTGCTCTCCAGGAAGCAGGCTGGACATCTGCCTGCCACTGGGAAGCAGGGAATGAATTCCCTACTGCTTTGCTTTGCTTGCACGCACAGCTTTGCTTCACTTATTAAAACTGTCTTTATCTCAACCCATGAGCATTTTTGCCTTTGCTTTTCTGATTTTCTCCCCAGTCCTGTGGGGAAGCCGGGGAGTGAGCAAACCACTGCTGCCTGGGACTGACCCGCTATGTTCGGTCAAGCAGCTGCATCATTAAAATCCCCTCAGCAAGAGGCTGAAGTAGAAGGCAGCAGGTCTGTCTCCTCTCACCCCTACACGTTGTTTGCTGCCCATGGCTCTGGACTGAAACGACGCTGGGGAAACAGTGCTCAGAAACAGCATCAGCGCATCACCCCACCGGTCAGCACGACAGCCAGGGGACCCGCGGGAGCTCGGACAGGCGCGTGCGCCTGCACCACAAAGGTATGCTCAGATCACAAACGCTGCAAGAATCGACAGGACACCAGGAGCTGTGGGAACTACCCCTGGATTTCAGTACCACAGCAAGTTACATCGCTTGGGATTTTCTCAGCAGACAACAAAGACCCCTCTTACCCTGGGTACAGGGGAGGCCCTGTGGGAAACTACTGGCTGACTGTGAGCCCCAGCTGCTTTGCTATTCCTGCCTGGCACCCCAACATATTTATAAGCGTGCAAATACGTTCAGTTTAGCCCACCAGGTCAGTGGTGTTTCTCTCATTAATAGTAAACAGGCTACTCGTACTAGGATTACGTATGTGGCAGTGGGCAGTTGAGGTACTCACATCCGGGTAGCTCGGTGAGCAGGAAACGCACACTTCCATGCACAGCCTGGCATTTTGCATTTTAACAAGGGTGAATTCTACACAGATTAAAAGCTTCAACCCCTCTCCACTCAGCGTGGCTGTGAGATGGTCCTTGATGCCAAGATCAGTGTAACTCTTAAGATCAGACTTTAAGTGCTCTAAACTCTAATGCTGCTCATGCCTAAATGGAATAGAAAGAAAAAAAAATACAAGCTCAGAAGCAGCAGCATTATAGCAAATTGCAAGACAAAGAGTAGTGAAAAATAGCCCCATTTATTTGAAGATCTGTCAATAACGGATACATATTAAGGAGCAAATCAAGCCCTAACACAAGTTGGAATAAAAATGACGATTACTTTAAGGCTGAACATGACCCTAGAAACATTCCTGTAAAAATCTGTGGCACTTCAGCTGCTTGTCTGGGAAATGTAGAG